AAATAATCAAGTTGGATTCAGTATCTGACTAAACAAATATCTGAAAATTAGAATAAATATATGCTACTATCATCAAATATACAAAACAAAATTTGCAGTTCACTCAAGACCGAGGATCATATGCACAATTGGTCATGTTCGATAAAACGGAATACAAATTGATGAATATTCCTTCACAACCTTATTTCAGAAAAACGATCAGAATAACTAGACATATGTCCCATTTAATGTGTTCAGATTCAGGCAATGGCCACTTATTATAGACATTTATTCTTCTGACCATTGTATAGAATACAAAACTAGATGATTTCATAATCGTTGATGCTCGATAACTTCAAGTATCAGTCTAGGCGAGTTGTGTATACGTGCTGGCGAAACAGTGCAATCAGTTATCACTTATGTACTTACATATCCGTGAGTATACAGGTAAATTTTCATTAATCTTAAGTTTATTCTAGCATGGATAACACTGAAACTTTCACAATTTATTTTAAGTATCTGTAAGTTAGTTTGGGCACAAATTAACCATTCTCGTGAATTTACAGTAAAAAAAAATGATATAGACAACCTGAACCGGTTCATTCCTGTTCCCAGACCTTCCATGACAAGATGGTCTGCTCAAGTCTTTAATGAGGTATTAGTTTGCTGTGGCCATGTTTGTTGTGACTCTCTTACTCTTTATGATTCTCACCAGGAATTTGATACCTCACCAAGACGAAAGAAACTATGCATGGTATCTACGGTAATTTTTGCAATAGAATGGCCTGATTAATTAACGCAGAATTGCTTAATAAGTATACTCAATGAACTTCACACACACATGCACACACACACACACCTTAATCCCTACTATGAATATTTTTTTTATTATAAATGTACTCTTTTACTGTACTTTAAATTGCTGAGATAGAACAGTGTGAATAATAGCACATTTGTATTTATAAAGACGTTTCAAACAATAAAACCTTTGCTCAGTTGCCATAAGTATTGCTGTAACAAAATGTCTCGACTCTGGGTATTGTCTGTTTGTTTTATCATTTTGTGCTGTGATGGTAGTATTGGCTGGGAGGTAAATTACAAGTATCTATGTTCCAATACATCTAACAGCTTACTCGTACCGTTAATATTATAAATTGACGCGGTCAAAACACTACGTAACACTACATACATGTACAATACGGAGTATTTATTCACTTAAAATGATAAATTGCTAATTTCAGATAAAAACATTGAAGACAAATACATATTGAAAGCTGGGTTTATACATATTTTCGTTAAAGGACAAACTAAATTTTCCAGACTTTATTACCTCATAAATAACTTTGATTTGTTAGCAGAAACACTCTCGTATGAGTTAGGTAGCATCAATTTACAGAATCGTTCTTTGAACACTAAAAATCAAATTTCAAAGGAACACATTCCATCAGGTGGGATTCCATTCTGCATTAGGAAGGAGTTCAAAAGATATCTATATAATATAACTACGATTTTGTGTATTGGATAATACTAGGGAATAAACGTTTACTGTATTATTGTTGATCTCGTCTGCATTCTACCTAGGTGATCACCTTACACATCAAATTATGTTGTTGTCCTAGTATAAAATGAAATGTTTGATATTCTTTAATGTAGCAATATTTGTATACGTAGTTGGTGAATTTTTCAAGAAAATATCAGCAAAATTAGTTGTTGGTTGGTTGGTTGGTTGTTGTGGGGCTTAACGCCATTTTTCAGCACACGATAGGCTATACATGGCGGCCAGTATTAATGGTGGAGGAAGAAACCTGGAAATCCGCGGAAAGAGCCACCGAACAACGAGAAGCTACTTGCAAGCTTTCTCACATATCCACATTCGCCGAATCTTAGACTCGAACCCACGCAGAGGTGAGCAAAATTAGTTGTTACTTGGTGATAATGATTATAATTGACACAAAATAATTGAAGATATATTTTAGAGTCTTAAAGCAATACCAATCAGACCATGACTACTGACATCTTTTTAGAAATAGCCAGGATTGAAATATCAATAGTTATGGGTATGAATGTATTGACTTTTGCAAATAATGGGATATTTATATAGCAAAATGGAAGAGATGGTGAAGGCAATGACACTGAAAGCCTTAATTGTAAATCCAATGTATAGTTGACTATTCAATAGCTAATCACGATTTATTTATTGCAGTGTCCGATTTTAGTATTTTAGATTTATGTCCTAATATGTTAAATTTGTGTCCAAATTGCGTATTTCAGATTTATGTTCAGATTTAGTATTTTAGATTTATGTCCGGATTTGGTATTTTTGATTCAGTATTTTAGATTCATGTCTTGTGTCCTTTGATACCAGATTTTTATACTTATCTGATACTGACGTACTAAATTCAGCCTATATAGAATCCAACGCTAAATACAAGAAAAAAGATAGAATTCCGAAAAAAAACACATTTTCATCGACAATATTAAAACTAACGCTAAGATAATTTTTGGCATTGATCAAAACATTTCTGAAACTGACCTAGTAACTAAACTTAAAATAAATAAAGTCGCTGAAAATAAAAATCTATTTGCAGAGAGCGTGAAGAAAGGGAGAAAAGTTTCCCCCAAAGAACTCTCCCTAAAGGATAAAAAGCCGACCTTGATCAAAACCTAACATATACGTCGGTTGGAAAGAAATTCCGCATGTCAAGAAAATATTTTCTTTGAATAACACAAAACAAACGTCGGCCTTATGAAAAGAGAACAAAAAGTTATAAATTCACTCTTCAGTACTTCCTAAACAATTACGAAAAAAAGACTACCAAAATCAGAGTAATATATACAACTTAAAAACAAAACTTGGAATGTTTTTGGAATATCATTTACGTGATTTGTCAGAGTATTTTACATATCTAAACTAGGATGATATAATTAATTAGTAATTTAAAGATCTAAACGCAAATGATATAGACAGAACAAATGAGGATTACTTAACTAATATTATTAATATCCCATCTTCTCTGAATATTCCGAAAACTGAATCTGTCATCTGTCATCTTTAAAGAATAGCAAAACAGCGTGGCTTTTTTGAGCATGTAACGAATATCAGAAATATACTGAGTCTATTTGCATGGAAAAATATATTTAATTTTCAATTTGTATTGAACACATGAATAATTACATTTACATGTACTATTAGGACATACAACCAATATTGCAAAAAAAGATCCAAATTAGCTATGTAATTCTAGATCTATAATATTAATTAGCTTCCTAGGAAAGTCCTTTACCTCAAAACATCACGAATAGATTAACTTATTATTATTCGGATATATATATATATATATATATATATATATATATATATATATATATATATATATATATATATATATATATATAACAATATATATATATATATATTTTATATTTTGATATTGTATTAACTCTAAATTTCGCTTGTTTTCTTTATTTGCATCTATCATCTACTCTCTCATCATACCTCATCATGCTTTATATATCCTGGCTAAATGCCAATGCTTAACAAAGAGACTTCACTCAGAAATTCGGACTGAAATTATTTGGTATTTGTCATTAAAACTTGATAGCATCATCATATTTTCATATTCATATGTATTTTAAATTTTGTATCACAAAATGGCGGACAAAACATAAAGCATTGTCTTTCGTTCTAATCCATTACCTTCTATATTGTACCTCTTGTAATCTCCAACTACAATGTTTTTTAAAATCAAGTTTAAAACAAATCTTTGTTTTTTTAAATGTTTTTGCAATTCTTGTTCTTGTTATTTAAATATTCCTTCAACATTTTGGTTATTTAAATTATTTATTTCATATACAAGGTTTATATACCTGATATTTGTTATTTTACACAATTCTAATCTCCAATTTGAAGGTACATTACTTTCGAATTTTGAATTTTTTTACATGAAACTCTTACCATATTACCAAGGTTGCATTTTTGGTATTCCTTAAATTCCCGAGAACGGTGAGGCTTATTTAAGTATTAGTACATAGCCATGTGTGAAGAATAAATTATTTCACTTAGTAAAGCCAATGATTTCTCATGATTGTTATAATTAAAAAGTTCAAATCAGAAATATAGTTGCTTGAGAATTGAAAAACTCAGCCAATCAGACGTCAGACAACCTCATTAATATATTTGGAACATTCTCAAATGCATGCACATTTACAATCTTGATGATACTGACCATATCTGATCAAAATTTTCCCTTGATGATGTGAGCACATTTACCATGTTTAATCAAAATCCAATGAGAGGCACTGTCCCTAAATGGAAAATAAGCTTGGTCAATGGGATTCATCACCCAGACATTTGGATCTTGCTCCTTATGGAACATGTCTTAGAGCATGATGACAGTTATTCCATTTCGGATCATAACTGGACCTGGAATATTGCCTCCAAAGTAGTATTGTTCCTAGCCAATCAGATGCAAGAATACCTCATTAATATGAATGAATCTTACCAAGTATCAAACCTGACCAAGATCCTGATGATATCAATTTATAATCAAAGTTTGATCAAAATCTTTTAAGAAATAAAGCCTCCAGAGTAGTATCAAGATCAGCCAATCCAATGCAAGATCACTCAATTAATAATCATATATATCGCTCATTGTCCAACATGCCCATATTACAAGTTTTATCAAAATCAGATTGGTAATATGGCCTTTAGAGTGGCAACAAGATAATGTTGACAGAAGGACTGATGCAAGTCATTATCATAAGTTTTATTGGCCTTATTGTCCAATGAAATGGGAATGTGCAATACGTTGTAACAAATACTAATATATAAATGCCACAATGTAACTAATTTTGAAAATTATGTTTATTTTGTAACATTTAGTAGGTCAACATAAATAATATAGCATACAAGATTAAACATTATTTTTAGTTTTAATAAATGTTTACCGCAAAATGTTCACATGAACAATACAAATAGAAAAACACATAATACACTCTAAAAGTACATTTTAATATGAACTGCTCCAGTGGCCTAATGGTTAGAGCATTCGCCTCAGATGTGGCAGGTCATTGGTTCAATCCCCGGTTGAGTCACACCAAAGCCTTAAAAATATGGTACTAACAGCTGCCTCGCTTGGTGCTCAGCATTAAGAGGTTAGTGTTAGGACTGGTCGACCTGGTGTCAGGATAATGTGACTGGATGGAACATCATGCTCCATGTCTGCAGCATGATGCCCTAGTGCTAGACATCACTATAAACTGCCACTCTGCAGACATCATAGCGATATGACTGAAAAATTGCAAAAGCTACGTTAATAATCCAAATCACACACTCACACATGCACACTTTAATGTGCTTAAGGCTGAGTATAGAACCATACTTTTACCTAAATTAACACAAAATTGTCAGTTGTTGACATTGAAAAGGCTTTATTTTTAGAATCAACACTCTGAGACAAGATTTATACTCTTATACAAAAGAAGCTGCATTTATTGCATTTTGTTTAGGCTATGATTCTTAATCAAGAGAAAAATAATGATCAAATTTACATGTAAATTTTTTGAGATAGTTGTCTAAAACATTAGTTTATATACCAGATGTACTGACTTATAAGTCAGTTGCAACTGCAAACTGTACAGACTCAGCTCTGCAATTGCATACTGCATTGGCAGATCTTGATCTGTGCAGTTTGCTAGGCGTAATCTGTGGAACAAACAACATATATCCTCTTTTGCAAGTGCATTATGCTATTGCAGATAAGAATCACTGTTGTTTTCAATTTGACTGCACTTATAAGCTAGTACAGATGGTACATGTAAGGAAATATACCATGTATATCCTTTAGTGCCATTTTTCTACCTATTTAAAATGCTTTCCATGTATTCATTCATATAATGGAAAAACTGGTTAATGAGTTAGTGTAATATTCACGAATGGAGAAGAAAATCAAATAGAATCCATGGGCCTGACATGATTGACCTTGCTTATATCTACCTAAAAATCACATTTAAAACAGTTTGCCAAGAAATATGGTTTAGCTGAATGTATTCAGTCAAGATTTATATGTTTTCTGTTGACTGGCAATGGCTTTATTTACTTGTATTAGCCTGAGCAATATCCAGACCTCCAAACCATTTTTTTTTCACAAATTATAGCAAGGTTACAGTTATCTTGTCACAAAAATATAAGCAAAATATTGGAAATTTATTGGAGATCAAAAAACACAACATAAAAACAATAATGTATGAATGTTAAGATTAAATACTCCTTTTCTTAGAAACACAATGATATTAGCCTATGTTAATAACATAATGAACTGAAATAATTATTCAAATAGATTTCATATTTGACTGCTACTTTTTTTCTCAACTGTCTTGAGAACATCAATCATGATTAATAGTTTGCAAAAAGAGATTCTAAAGAACACAAAAAACAGGGCTTGCATGTGAACCAGTGATAAAGAGCATTGCTAAATTAATTGATCTGGAAGCTTAACAAATTGTTGATAATGTTTGTGTAAACATGAATGCTATACCTAGCTGCCTACTAATATGATTTCTACAACACTTTGCATTTGCATCTCCCACAAAATATAAAGATTTAAAACAAAAATGGGGAAAATATTGGGATCCAAAATATATAAGGATATTGTATGAATTGTTATCAAAGACAGAGTATGGCTGAGAGTCCTGCATATTGGATGGCAGATAAGCATCAGCTGAATATAATCAAAAGGTCTTTAAACGAGAATGACTTCTGTCAAATTTGTCAAGTGATATTTGGGTAGTTTTTGAAAGAAAGTCAGTAAAAGAGTTTTCTATCTCTATGATCAGCAGCCAACTTTGACTGGAGATATGCATCAGTTCTTTAAAAAAAAGTCTGTAAATGCCTCCAACTGTCTAAAATGCTTCATGTCAGCTTCAAAAATATTATATTGATCGTTTTTGAGAAAAAAATATTTTCAGGTTGTTAAAAATATAATTTGTGACCATACTGGATGGCAGACCACCATCAATTTGTTCAAACTTAATGGTCGTTAAGCAAGGATGCTTTCTGTAAAATCTGATCAAGTTCTGTTAACCAGTATGAAGACATCATTTTTGTTTCTCAGTTTCAGGTAATGGCAGCCTTAATGAATCAGCATAATTTTTTATGCATCTAATGCCAGGATGCTTTTTATTAACAATCTGATAAACATTCTATTGGACACTGTTAGAAAAGAAATCTATTTTATATAAGTAAGAATGGCCATAACAGGGGATGATTATCATGATTTATAAAATTTTAAAATCTTTTCATTTTAGGATACTTTTATCAAACTAAATCGAATTCTTTTCAGCAGTTTAGTAGATGCGATTTGGAGTTTTCTAATCTTAATAAGGCAGACCATGTTTAGATGATCAATCAGCATTATTTGTGTAGACTGAATGGCTGTCATAACCAATATATTTTGTCGTAGCTGATTAAATTCTCTGGGGCAGATTTTGAAAATTGTCAGAACCTCTTTAAATTTTTAGTAATTGCAACCATATGGTTTGTGGATTAGCATTATTTTCATAAATGTACCACTTTTAAGGCAAGAAGCCATCTGTCAAATATGTCATCATCTGTACAAACTCTAAAACCCTTCATGTAACAATACTAAATGTGACATATGATAACATTACTGTCAATCACTTAAATCTATAAGTATTTTATTTTGTAGTCAGGTAAAAAATATTAGTGGACACATCATTTTGTGGATTTGTTATTTGGAAAACAAAAACAGTATAAATAATAAAATAATATAGACATGTATATCTGTTTAAATGATTATACTGTTATTCACTTTCATACATTTTCAAGCAAAATGGCTTAATCCCTACTTCAGTCATTGGGTTAATTAGATAGTTATTCAATGCTAACGCTAGCATAAAAAAGTGGAATACTGAATCAAATATGCTGATATCCTTCTGCATGTACATATTAGTATAATTCCTCTGCTTCCAATTTTGCACACTTGACACAATCATGTACCATGGCAGCATCTATGATGAAGTTGAAAAGAGCAAATATTGGTGAGCAACAACTGAATGCAGATGATGCCACTGGAACACTGGACATGGGATCATACTATAGGCTTACTTAAGTGAAGGAAACACAATGCAAGAACAAAATACTAGTAATGTTCATGTTGTTAGTTTTGCCATAATGTACCTTAGGAAACCAACAAACTAAGAGGTTAATACACTAAGGGACAATAACAAAAAGATGATATAAGCAACCGATAAAATTCATCAATCCCAAACAAAGGCAAAAATCATTAAGAACTAGCCTTAACTGGTAAATAAGCCTATCCAAAATTAAAAACAAAATACCACAAATAGAATTTGCTCTTTATAAATTTCAACTAAGTTTAGATATACAGCTTACAAGAAATAAATCTGATAATTAAATAATTGTATAAAATAAATACTTGAATAAATAAAATTTAAGTATTTTTTTTCTCTATCACCATCTGTCTTATCAAAAGGGTTGTATTAAACTATTAAATTGGATGGGTACAGATGTCTTTGATTTTAAACAAACAGATTACATTCTTACAGTTCATTGGTTATCTAAATCGTTTCAAAAGTCAACAGGGCATTCTTTAACACTGAAATAACATACTAAAATTCCAAAATACTCCCCAGTCATAGTTCACAATTTTTCTTTGCTCATTGAAAGAACTGTGTTTTTAAGAAAGGCTTGCAAATCAGCTGTCTCCAGATCAACCTCTAGAAATTTACTGACAATCATTGCACACCTGTAAACAGGATAAAAACATCCATGAATTGAGGAGTAAATGAAGCAACATAAATAGGATAGCTATCATATGACCAGCTAGTTAATTTATTTGTAAATCAATCATTATAAGCCTAAATTTAAAATACATATTAAGGTACACATAATTATGCAATCTATTTTCAAATATATTTACAATGAAAATCATCTGTTTTAAACAACACATTAAAAAGTCTATTTGATTTATAAAAAAAAGTTTCTCTGTATTAACCACATTTACAGAAATTATATTATGCATGAATTTATTGTGCCAATAAAAAAAAATCAAGCTGGCTGGACTGTTATGATTATTGCATACAATTGTCAAATACATTACTATCTTTAAGACACGTACTAGTTATTGAGATTTATAAATTAAGTGACTCTATTAACTACAATTTAAAGAAATTAACTTCATACATTGCATCCATTTAAAGAAAATGCCACTCAACCAGGCTTGACATTTATAATCACTACAAACAATTGTTAAACACATTACTGTCTTCATGAAAAGTATTGTAAAAAAATTATCTTTAAGAGAAGCAAGATGTGTTCTTTAAATATCATGTTTACCAAAACATATGTACACAGATATGTTATGGCTAGCACTTCATGTTCCTGATTTTGTGAAGAGTTGGATGTAGTTTATCAATGATTAAAGCTTACTGGAAACTCAACATCCAATCTATAAGCCAATCAATAGTGCAAGACTTTTTCTAATAAATAAACTCATTTGCCATTAAAAGAGTCAAAATTCATGGGAAAGAACTCACCAAAGCATTATTCTTGACCACTGCTTTAGATCTTCAGGTGGAACATTTATATTTCACACACATGCATACATATAAAGTGATTATATCAGTGCTATTTACCTTTTATACTGTGTGTCAGTGCTTTCTGAATCTATTCTGTGAACTGGTTTATTTTGTCTAATCATGTCAGACACCTACCAAAAAAAACCAGAAAGGTAATGTGTAACTCATTTTTATTCCTCAGACCCTCTTTCTATATGGCAGAAATGAGAATAAAATATAAATAACTCAGTTAAGTCAACTTTTTACATGTTGACACAATCATTCTAAACAATAAGATACCAAAAAGTTATTTACTTTCATCAGAATTTTCTTGGTTTTGCATATTTCTTAAAAAAATACATATTTTTCACTACTTTAATTTTCACTATGGGGAAGAGGTCTAATTGGTTACTCTTTGGGATTATTGTTAAATCTTTCCATCTCTGGCTAAAAGCAACCACAGAATCCACAAACATTATTATCATGCAAAAACTGGT